AGGGGGGGAGGGGGGGAGCCGAGAGAGAAATACCGATCAGTTGCCTCCTGCAGGACCCTGGCCAGGTGCTGAACCACAGCCTAGGAATGTGCCCTGACCAGGAATCGAACCCGCCACCTTTTGGTGTAGGGACGATGCTCCAGTCAACTGAGCCGCCCGGCCGGGGCCTTGATAACTTTTTTAACAATCACAAAATTACTGAAAGATGTAGAGAGAACAAAACACCTTGCCCTCTGAACCGCCTGAGAGTAAGTGGACATGATGCCCCCTCACTCCCCAAACGTGCGTGTACTTCCTACAAATGCGAGCACTTTCCTCCATCACCCCCGCGCACCATCAGAATCAGGGAATGGACACTGACCTCCTTCTGACAGTCCCGACTCCATTCATGGTTCCCCAGTTCTCCCAAAGGACCCGGTGCAGCCCCATGTTGCACGTGAGGCTCACACTTTTCGGCGCAGCTCCTCGACGTTTCCTTCGCTTTCATCACAGGGGCGATTGGGAAGGTCACAGGCTGGTTATTGTGACCGCCCCTCAGAATGGCTTTGTCTGATGTCACCTTTGATTATAATCAGGACTGTTGAAGAAGTGATGTTTTACCACATTGCATTTTATTTATTCCATTCTTGATGATGTTTAATCAGTTGATTACGGTGATGTCTGCCAANTATTCCATTCTTGATGATGTTTAATCAGTTGATTAAAGTGATGTCTGCCAGCTTCTCCACATAAAGTTACTCTTTTCTCCTTTCTAAAATAACATTTTGTGGGGAGATGCTACTCAGATATCCTATTTCCCATCAGACTTTCCAAGTTACTCATTTATTCACCTGTCTTTATGGGCTCATGGTCCCTCTGCTAGTCAGTCTGTTACCCTCCCAAGTTATAATGTTACTAGCAAATTAATCTGTGGCTAATTGATGATCAAACTGTGGAACAGGCTCGTGTCCTTCTTGTCCTCAATTTTTNATTCACCTGTCTTTATGGGCTCATGGTCCCTCTGCTAGTCAGTCTGTTACCCTCCCAAGTTATAATGTTACTAGCAAATTAATCTGTGGCTAATTGATGATCAAACTGTGGAAACAGGCTCGTGTCCTTCTTGTCCTTAATTTTCGAGCACTTTCTTGCTTTCTGGTATAAAATATTCCAGGCTTATCTTACATTTTCCTTCCCAGCCCTGTAACCCTCCATTTCTCCAAGGACCCCTGGTTCCACTTACTGGAAAGTGGTGTTTAAAAGCCAAGACCCAAGAGCAAGGTGTACTCATTGCCTTNTCCCAGCCCTGTAACCCTCCATTTCTCCAAGGACCCCTGGTTCCACTTACTGGAAAGTGGTGTTTAAAAGCCAAGACCCAAGAGCGAGGTGTACTCATTNCCCTGGTTCCACTTACTGGAAAGTGGTGTTTAAAAGCCAAGACCCAAGAGCAAGGTGTACTCATTGCCTTTGGCATATCTATCTTCAAGTCATCGGGTGGGGAAAACTGGGAAAAGTATTTATACATATGTGTATAAATGTGCCTGTGTGTATGTTTAAATCTGTCCACTGGACACCAACAAGTTCTCTTCCGTCCTCTGTCACTGCCCTTCCTGAGAAGCCCAGCTTTCACTGCTCGTAACACACTGACTGACTGCTCAGCCTCCTGCGATGAGCAGCCGCCCAGCTCTGCCCCCCCCCCGGGTGTCCTTCCTGCTGGAGCTGGACTTGCTGCGCCCGCCTGCCCTGTGGGTGCTTCCCCACCACCCCGGGGCTCTGACACCCACAGGGCTTGCCCCCGCCCGCGCACATACACACACGCTGCTGCGCGGGACCCCACGTGCCGGGCAGCCCCCCGGGAGCGCTGACTCCTCGTGGGGTGCGGCTTGGACGCCCTCTCCAGGCTCCCAGCTCCCCACCAGGACTGCTGCGGGACCTGCTCTGCTGTACGCCACCCAACAGCTCCGGGACTGACCTGCCTGGGAGGAGCAGGAAAGTGAAGGTTAGCAGGGCAATGAGCCAGACGCC